CAGTAGGCAGTGCTTCTCAGATCTGGGTAGGCAACTGCCCAATATGGTAATGTGCTGGGGAATTCCAGAGCTCACTGGATAAATGGGGCCCTTTTCCTAGAGGGTTAGTTTTACTTGAAGGTGTGGGGGAATAAATAAATATGATGGAGCAGAATTCACACGAAGTTTTAGAGATAAGCGGGATATGTACAAGGTCTGCAATGTGCTCCAGGCTGTGGCCTGTGATTCTTGTGGTTATTTACTTACGGGGCTCTTCCTTGGGCACTTGGGGCTCACCTGGCTGGCTGTTTGCACTTCTAGTGAGATGGACGGTGTGGCTGGGAGTGAGAAAAGCCCTGTTAAAGTTAAGGGTGGATTGGCTTTGATGGGTGAACCTGAAGGCCCAGGCCCTTTTCCCTCTTGCTGCTATAGGGACAAGTCAAAGAAGAAGAAGAAAGTAAAGGTGAAGATGGAAAAGAAATCAACGCCCTCGAGGGGCTCATCATCCAAGTCCTCATCAAGGCAGCTAAGTGAGAGCTTCAAGAGCAAAGAGTTTGTGTCCAGTGATGAGAGTTCTTCCGGAGAGAACAAGAGCAAAAAGAAGAGAAGGCGGAGTGAGGTGCGGCAAGAGTTTAGGGGTGAGGGGCCTTGAGGCAGAGGGGTGGATGTCTGAGGGCCGGGGGTTGTGGTAGGTCTGTAAGAGTAGTGAGTTGGAGTGGAAAGGTGCAGTTCTCAGGTTCTGAAGGCGAGTGCTGCAGTGGGGGGTTGGGGGTGGGTAGGGAATTAGGGATCCTTCACGGCTGAAAAGTGGCTCCCTGGGAGGGCAACCAGGACTCTAAACCTTTCCCTTAAGAGACCTTTGATTTTCAGGACTCTGAAGAAGAGGAGCTGGCCAGCACCCCCCCCAGCTCAGAAGACTCCGCATCAGGATCTGATGAGTAGAGGAAGAAAATTCTCTCTCCTTGGGCTTTCCCTGTCACAACCTGCAGTCTCTCCACCCATGTTTTGGTACCAGTTTCTCATGAAATGCAGTCCTTGGATTTTGTGCCATCTTGACAAGCTCTCCTGGTGACATGCACTTCACCGTGGCAGCAGGGGAGGTGTCCCTTCTCTCTACTGCTTCTCAAGGATGGCTCTTGATAACTTGGGGAGAGATTGGGTGGGGCAGTGCAGTGCAGGGTGGAATCCTGAGCCTGCTCCTGCGACCTTAGGGATATGGCTGCTGCTTCTCCTGTTCAGGTTGCTGCAGCAGGGGTCAGGTGAGGGCAGGCCATAGCTCCTAACGGGGGCCTATTTCTACTTTTATTTTGTATTTCTGGTCTGAAAAATCAACATTTAATAAAGGGAACTGACTTTGGAAACCATGTCCTAATGCCTTCTCTGTAGCCCTGCTGCTGAATACAGGCGCCCGTGTTCCGGGGGTGGTGGGTACCGTACTGTTGTGATTGGGCCGGGCCCTGCTGGCCAGCCGGGAAGCAAGCCTCCAGGTACACCCTGTCCTGTTCCCGGTTGGACAGGCATTGGTTTTCACTCTCTCCTGCCGGGATGGGCCACCTGAGAGTCTAGAAACCAGAGCTGATCTGATTAGGAAGTCACTCTCACAGTTTCACTCCATTAGCCCCGCTGAGGGGAGGCAGCTTCTGGCTCAGTCCTTCATCACCCGAGTCAAGGGTCTTCCATGGCTTTAGATAATGGAATAAGGATTGACCGGGCTGCGCGCAGCGGGGGCGACGGAAACCCGAGCCCGGAGAGCGGTGGAGAGCGGTGGACGGCGAGTGGGGTGGGGGTGGGGGAGGGGGAGGGGGGTCAGGGTGCAGCCGAGGTGTGCAGCGCGGGTGAAGCTTTTGTTCTGGTGGGGCGGTCGGGGAGCTTCCGTCTGGGAAGGGGGGATAAGAGCACTTAAGCGAGGGCCGGCTGGAGAGCCGGGGCCCGCGGCCGCCCTCACGGCGGCTCCACGCCTCGACCGACACACGTGGAGCGGCCACGTTGCGCGCGTTCTCAGGTGTTCGCCGCAGGAAGCCTCTCCGGTCCGCCAGCGGTGACCTTCTGTCTCGCCGGGACTCTATGGTGCTGCAATCAGTGCCCGCCGCCCGCCGAGCCCGAGCCCGAGCCGGCCGCCCTCAGGCCGCCTCTCTAGGCAGCCGTCTCGGTGGCCATCTCGCCCAAGCGCTCCCAGCCGCCGAGTTGCGTCAGTTTCGCCGGGGTCCGAGCCCGGGGCAGGCCCCTTATTTGCAAGACTCATAAATAATTGAGCACCGGGGCTGCCGCTCATTTGCATACGGCTCGGCGTGCCCGGCCTGGGCTTCCCGCTCCCGGGTCCCACCGGCTCATGACTATTCATGAGGCGCGCTGGGGGCGGGGCCCTGGGCGGAGCCAGGGGCGGGGCCCCGCCGCGGCTCGCTCAGGCTTGGTCCCGCGGTGACGGCGGCGGCGGCGGCGGCGACGAGGACTGGCGTCGGGGCGCCGAGCCCGAGCCGCGCGGAGCCGGATCCCCGGAGAGCGCGTGAGTGCGCGGGGGCGGGCAGGAGGGCGAGGGAGGGGGCGGGGTCCGGGAGGGGGCGGGGAGAGGCATGGAAGGAGTGGGCGCTTTCCTGCCGGGACCTCGGGTCGTGGAGGTGGTGGCGGGGGGCGGGGGGGTCAGCGGGAAAGTTTGCAGGGGCCGGGGGCGCGGGGGGCGCGGGGGGCGCGGGGGAGCGGGCGCGTGCGCCCGGGGGCGGTGGGTGCAGGGTCTGGAGCTCGTGCTGGCCGAGCTAGAAGAAAGGGGGGAGGGGGCGAGGGCTTGAGGCGGGGCCGGGGGCGGGCGGAGCTGCTGGAGGGACCCCCGCCCCCTCCCGGGCTCCCTCGGCACGCCCCCAGCCACCCCAGTCCGCCCCCACCCGGCCCGCGTCTCCAGTCCCTCGTCTGTTCGCCGGCTGCTTCTCAGCCAGCGCACCGGTCCTCCGCTTCTGCCGCCGCCCCCTCCTCCTCCTCTCCCCCCCCTCCTCCTCCTCCTCCTCCTCCTCCTCCTCCTCCTCCTCCTCGGCGGCCGGCGTCCCCTCTGTGTCCAGGGCTCCCCACTGGGCCCCTCCTGACGGCCCCTCGCCCCGGGCTGTTCCGTCTTCCCGTTGCCCTCCCTCCTCCCGTGGTTTCCGTGCTGTCCCTGCCGACCTCTCTGGCCCCGGATCCGGCCGGAGATCCCAGGGTCCGTAGGGGCGACCCCGCTGGCGCTGATGGCGCGCTGGGCCGCTGCCTCCCCGGGCTGGAGCTGCCCAGCCTCTCCCCAGCCCCTCTGGTGGCCTTTGCGCCCTGGGGTCGGCTGGTCCCCCCCTGACTGTTGGGGCTCAGGAGTGCTCAGTGCTGCTGCCGTTCTACAGCTTTTGGCTACGGCCTTGGTCACCTGGGTTTCCTGGCTGGGCCCTCTGAGCTTCTGTGGCCCTCTCAGGTGGGGAAGCCGAGCCCCCCCCTTCATTGCTGCAGCCCCTCCTACTGCAGAGGTGCCCATCAGGCCCCCCAAGTGAAAGGGTTTTATGGTTCTGGGCCAATCTGTCCCCATTTCTAACCACCCACACCATGTCCCTTGTAATAATGTTCAAGGACAAGGAAACAATCTTGTGTTTTTTTAATTTTTTTCCCCCCTGTCGTGCGCCCCTCCCCCATGCACACTCGGACTGGCTCTGCACAGCTATCACCCACCCACCGCGTGCGGTCCTCCCTTGTAGTTGGCTGACCAAGGGATTGACGGTCCTGGGTTGGTCTTTACCCTTGTCGTGTTTTCTCCCATCTTAGGAGCCGGCTGGGGCAGGGGCAAAAGTGAGGGGTGGTTGGGTTCTGCCAAGGCTGGGCCCCAGGGGTCTCCTCTCAGAATTTGGCGCTGTCTCCCCCAGGCCAGCTGGAGTGGGTGGTGAGGAAAGCAGTGCCCCTTGCAGGCGGGAGAGGGTTGGGCTGTCCTCAGGGCTGTGTGCATGCCCAGTGATGGGAATCCTCCTCCTGCCTTAGGATTGAGAGGGGTAGGGCTCTGGAGCCTGGGGGGTCTTGTGGGTGGGATGGAGCTAGAATGGGAATTGAGGAGGTGGTGGGGTGTCTGAGGAGCAGGTGACAAGATGGGCCCGCGGGAGTGGAGGAGTGGTTTGGAGTGCTGGCAGCCTGTGGCCTGCGGAGAGGAAGAGGCAGTTACCAAGGATCTTAGCTCATTGGTGACCCTGCATGGAATCCTACTAATGCTGGCCAACATTTGCTGGATACTTTTTATGGGTTAGGCGTGCACTCTCACATAGGCCTCCCGCCAGTCTCAGGTAAAGCTGTGTTTCACATAGGGAAACTGAGCCATAGAGAAGTAAGCAGTGTGCCTAAGGTCACACAGCTAAAGAAGTGGTAGAGCCACTCAGCATTTGAATCCTGATGTGTCAGACCCCAAAGCTCTTGCTTGAGGCTTAGAGGAGGGGCATCATTCGGTCTCTGCCATAGGGCTGTGTTGCTTGGTTTAAAATTTCTTCAGCTCCCCCTCCTCAAATTCCCTCGGGCCGACCCTGGGGCTGCTGAGTGATGCCCAATATCCCCATTTCATAGGCTCTCCCACCCTGACTGCCTAGAAGGGGGAACCCCGGGGAGTTATTTCCCCCAAGCCACCCCACCCCCCGGATGTTCTCAAGTCCTGTCCCATTCTCCCAGCCCAGGCCTGGGCCGGCTCCTCCTTCCTCTTGGCGAGGCTCTGGAAATCCAGTGGGAGGCCATTGCTATGGCAACAGGACTAGGCCCTGGCTTTACCTCATCAAATTCCAAGCTGAAGCCAAAGCGATTGAGAAATTAAAGAAAAAAAAATGTATTCCAGATGTTTACTTTTTATTCCTTATTTTTCCGTGTTTGGATGAGACGGCTCGGAGGGAGGCGGGAGTGGGGCTGGGATGTGGAAGGAGAAAGGGGGGGGCTGAGCGGGGAGAGGGAACCACTCCCAGCTGCAGGGGGAGGGGGGAAGGAGGGAGAGCGGGAAGGGGGAGGCAGGCGGCGGGGCGGAGCCCCAGGTTGGGGAGGAGCGGGTTTTTCCCGTCTCCCATGAGGTGATTCACGGAGGGACCTCAGAGCTCGCGGCCCTCTTGCTCTGCCCCTGAGTAGACGTCTCAGGCTGGGCCGCCGGCCCCAAGGGGTGCCCTGGGAAACGGTAAGTAGGGTGTCTTGGAGAGCTTGCCCCGGGGAGCAGCGGGTCCCTGCCGCTCCGGGACTTTAGGGTGAGGAGCCCGGAGTTTAGAGAGTGGTCTGGGAAGAGTGGAGGTTACAGCTGTAGGGGACCGCTCTTGACCTCCCCCAACCCCCCTCCGAAGTTCCTGCTTCCTGTCCCACACTCTGCCTCTGCTGGAAGTAGGAGACTTGGGTCAGCTACGCCTACTGCCAGTGTCCAGCCCCTCTGCCTTCTCAGTCTCCCCCCCTCTTTTCCTGGGTCTCCAGCCCGCGGCTCACAGCCCTCTGCTCTCCAACTCTTCAGGCAGGGTCTGCCGCCTGTGATGAAAGTGTCCGCTCTCAGGGAAGGCACTGCCATGGCTTCCCCACCGCCCCGGGAGACGGAGGAGGAGCTGGGATCTGCTGGCTCCGAGCCAGGTACCTATGGGTGCAGGGTGGAGCAGGGTGGCTGGGAGGAGAGTGGGAGGGGCAGCAGCCGAACCCCCTGCTCTGTCTTGGAGGGGGTGGGGGAGTGAGGGCAGGAGGTACGCCGCTGCCAGGGATGTGCAGGATGAGTTCTGAAGGTTTTCTCTCGTGGAGAGCATTCAGAAGTGTTCGAGAACCTCCGTCCCCAGCACATGAGGGTGGATTGACCTTCCAGGTGAAGCGGGTTAACCTTAATTAACCCTGGGGTTAACCGTGTGGCGTGCAGGGGAGGACTCTGAGGTCTAGGGGAGAAATGGCATACACCTGGTGGGGGGAGTTTGAACCCAGGCCTCCTGGCTCTGTCTAGACTCCTTTCTTGGGCTGAGCCCAATGAGTGGGTGATACAGGATTCAGTGAGAAGGGCCGTGGCCATGAGTAATTCTAAGTCTTTTATCTGGCATTAGAATGCCTTACTACAAGGTAGGTTTCTGGTCTTGTTTTCTTCCTGTAGCAGATTTACTTCTCTTTGGTTTAGGTCGATAGTATATTTGCATTCCTGATCACACACCTGATCACACACCAGATGACAGCGGGAGGGGCCTGGGTGTGTGTGGGCTGGGGGAAGGCAGTGGGGAGGCCGAGCGGGGAAGCTGAGCTGTGTTCACTCTGGGTGGTGGTGTAGCAGAGTGTCATGTCAGAGGAAAGGACAGTGGGAACATGGTGGCCTGGCTGCTTGATGTGGGCAGGCAAGCATCTGTTTATTGGTTCTTGTTCATTCATTTGTTTGTTCATTTGAGAAGAACATGTGCTGGGGTGCAAAGTGGGGTACAAGGAGAAATAAGGTGCCAGCCGGGCCCTGAAGTAGCTTTGGCTTGTAAGGGGAATTGACTAACGTTTTTGAAACTTGGAGATGGGGGAACATGCTCCTGAGATGTGTCTGGAAAATCAGGACAGGCTTCCTGGAAGAGCTGACATTTGACTTGCACCTAGACAGATGTGAACATTCTGAGTTTTTAGGGTGGGAGATGAAGTTCTGCTTCCTGGTTCTTCTGACAGCTCCCCAACTAACCTTTTCCTTTTGGTAGGTGACCCTCGGGCCAAACCCCCCGTGAAGCCCAAACCCCGGGCCCTGCCTGCCAAGCCAGCCCTGCCTGCCAAGCCCAGCCTGCTGGTGCCTGTCGGGCCTCGGCCCCCCCGGGGTCCCCTGGCTGAGCTGCCTTCTGCCCGGAAGATGAACATGCTGGCCGGACCCCAACCCTATGGTGGCAGCAAGCGTCCTCTTCCCTTTGCACCAAGGCCTGTGGCTGAGGCCTCTACTGGAGGAGAAGCCACTCGAGAGATTGGGAAAGAGGAGGCTGGGAAAGAAGAGATGCCCCCTTTGACACCCCCAGCTCGATGTGCTGCCCCAGGAGGTGTGCGGAAGGCCCCCGCCCCCTTCCGTCCAACCTCAGAGCGCTTTGCAGCCGCCACGGTGGAAGAGATCCTGGCCAAGATGGAACAGCCTCGGAAGGAGGTCCCTGCCAGCCCTGATCGCCTCTGGGGCTCCCGCCTCACCTTCAACCACGATGGCAGCTCAAGATATGGCCCCAGGACCTATGGTGTGGCCACTACTGGTCCCAGGGATGAGGACAGTGGGACCCTCTGCAGGGGATGGTCCCAGGAGGGGCCAGCCAAGTCTCCCAGCGAGTGCCAGGAAGAGCCCAGCAAGACCCCTGAGGAGAGGTGAGGCGGGGAGGCAGTCAGGAGGGCCTGTGGGTGGCTTTGCCTGGGACTGTGACCTTCACGTTTAGCTTAGTGTGCCGTGAGTGCAGGCGGACCCTGGACTAAGTCACAGAACGTTCCTTATCATCATTGGTACTCCGTTCTTTGTATGATTGTAGTGCTGTTTGCAGAGTGGACGGACGTTCACGGCAGAGTTCAAATGTTCCATAGGGAGGTTTATTTTTAGGTCTTTTTATACCGAGGGTTGAATTTTTCCTCATTTAAGTGACAGCCACGTTGAGAGTATTAGACCTGTTTTAGAGATGTGGAAACTGAGTTTCTGAAGCGACTTCTCATGGTTGCTCAGCCAGTAAGAGACGGACCCGGGATTTGAATTCAGGTCTGTTTGATTCCAAAGCATGTTCTCTTCTGTGTGGCTCCCACTGTGGGTGGAGCGGTGTGCAGGTCTGGGGGGGGGGGGGCAGGATGAGTAGGGTGCAGTCTGCCCACAAGGAGGAGTCTGATAGAACAGATAAGACAGGGCACACCTTGATGCCCAGCCAGCAAGCGTCCATGCACAGAGGTCATGGCCAGGTTGGAGACTGTGCGCATGCTTCGTCTCTCCAGAGCTGGTGCCCTTGTAAAGGCGGGCTGGCCAGGAGGTGCTCCTGGGGGTGGTGGGCCCTGGGCACTGGGGGAAGAGGCTGCCCTCCCCCTCCTGCTGCCCTGAAGGGCAGGGCTGCAGTGGTGTGGGCTGAGCCCAAGGCTGAGGGCCCCTGCCCTACCCTGCCTTCCAGCCTTGCCCTTCTCTCCCCTGCAGGTGCCTGGAGGGTAGGGGCCCCAGTTCACCCTGCTTTGTCCCAGGCCTCTGGGAGGTCACACCCTGCCCAGGCTGGTCCGCTTTCTGGCTTCCTCCCTTTCCTTGATCTAAGCAGAGCGTAAGAGGAACAACTTCAACTTTGGAAAATCACTCTTCCCCCTCATCCTCCCCCTGCAATCCTTCAAGAAGCATTGGCAGGGCAGTCGGGACCAGCTGCACTCTCCCTGGCTGGAGGAGAACATTAACTCCTTAGGGGCTGTGGAAAGGGGGCGTTAACCTTTTGGGGACCACTGAGGGTCTGTACAGGCAGGGTCCTTCGCCTAGAGGAGCAGGACATTTAACCCTTGATGTGCAGAAAGGGAATGGGTGCTTTATCTTTGGGAGCTCCGGCATGTCCGTCCTCAGTGGTTCCAGGTGCAGCTCCTTGGTACATGGCCTGGGGGAGCCGGGTAACTTTGGGTGCCAGTAAAGTCACTCAGCAGACTCTCGAGCCACTCTCCCTGTGTCCATCGGTGATGGGCTGCTCCATTCTGTGCCTCCATTTCCTGTCTTGTTCCCTCCCAGGAGTGCCCCTTTGGACCTGGCCTTCAACGGGGACCTGGCTCAGCCGGCCGGCTCGGACCCACCTGCTGATGTGAGTTGGCCTTCCATTAAGAATCAGAATCATAGTTGTTTAGAGCTGGAAGGGTCACCCGAGATCCTTTGTGTTACCTCCTTGTCGTTCAGATGGGGCACTGAGGCCTGGAGAGGAGGTGATTGCCCCAGGTCTGGCCTCAGGACTCTGATTTCTGGACTCCCAGGCCAGCTTTCTTGATCACTGAGGTGCTTAGGCGTGGTTGGGGCCGTGAGACTGGTCGTTCTGAGGAATAATGACAGTGTTTCTAACAACTGCTGTAGCCGATCAGGCACCTGCCGTGCGTGGGGCACGTCCCAGGAACATTGACCTAGTCGCTGTGTTAGCTCTGGCTAGTGGTCCCTCCTGGCCCCAAGTGAGGTGTATGCATGCCGCAGCTCACAAAGGTTAGGTACCCGGGGCTGAAGCAGGATCCCAGGAACCTGATTCCAGTGTTCTCCCTGGCTGGGCTGCCTTCGTGGGACTCCAAAGGGGGGGAATTTCCTGTTTAATCCCCACAGCTCCCCACAGGGTGCTCAGAGGATGGTCACCTTGGCCTGCTTTCCTAAGGAATGACCTCCCTTCTTGCTCACAGAGCCCTTGCTAGCCAAAGGCTGTCCTGTCCCCCGCGCAATGGAGACCTGACCACATCTCCTTGTCCATCCAGCAAATACTTATTGAGCAACTATTACGAGCTGGGTGCCAGGGACACAGCAGGGAACCAAGGGGCTACTGTCCTGCCCTCAGGGAGCTCACCTTCTGGTGCAGGGAGACAGACACAAGCACAGCTGTCCCTGCGAAGCCGCAGACCTAAGTGGGTCAGACGAGTGCGGGAGACCTATAGAGGCAGAGAGCTCTGGGCTGAGGGTAATCAGGGAGGCCTTGCCACAAGGGTAGGGGAGTGAGCTGCGTGGGTGTTTGGGGAACAGCATTTTGGGCAGAGGGAGCTGCAAGTACAAGGAACTTGGTACCTTCCCAGCTAGGAAGCCAGGACCCTTGGACTGCAGGGATAGAGGAGGGGTTGCAGCTAGTGAGGTCTGATGGGATGGGTCAGAGTGCTTGGAGCGAGCCACACAGGACACTAGAAGGACTTGGGCTTCAGTGGGGGGATGAGGCCACAGGGAGGTTTGGAGGAGAGCAATGATGTGTCGCTGGCTTCGTTATAAAGAGGCATCTTGGTTGCAGGGAGCTAATAGCAGCAGGGACCAGGTGGGAGATGATGGCGCCTGGACCCTGGGGGTCAACTCTGGGTCGGGTTTAAAGTGAAGTTGGCTGGGTTTACAGGTAGGTTGATAGAAGAGTGAGCCAGTCCAGAGTCATATATGACAGCAGGGCTTTTGGCCTATGCAGTGGAGGGTGAGGACATGGGGACTTAGAAGGGCAAAGTGAGGGCAGGCACCTGGGTGGCTCAGTGATTGAGCTTCTGCCTTCGGCTCAGGTACTGATCCTGGAGTCCCTGGATCGAGTCCGACATTGGGATCCTTCCAGGGAGTCTGCTTCTCCCTCTGCCTGTGTCTCTGCCTCTCTCTCTCTCTGTGTCTCTCATGAATAAATAAATAAAAAAAAAAAAAGGGCGAAGCAGGATCAGAGGGATATGAGGAGTTTACTTTTGGGTTTGTTGAGTTTGAGATGCCTCTTAGACATCCAAATGGAAATATTGTGTGTGTGTGTGAGGAGGGCAGCTGGGTAGTTGTCAGTGTACAGGTTGTGGTTAAGGTGGTTGAGGTCCCCAGAGGAGCTGGGGAGGTACAGCAGGGCAGAGGGTGTAGGCCCCAGGCATAGCAGGGGTGACCTGGGGCCGGGGGCGGGGGGTGGCAGTCGGGGATGGTACAGTCATAGAGGCCACACAGAGCCAGCAGCCAGCTTCGGGGCTGGAGGAGGGCATGATCCATGGTCAGATGCTGCTGCCAGGTCAAGGCAGGTGAGCCCTGGGAATGGGAGCTGGCCACAGAGAGGTCATTGGTGACCTTGACAAGAGCGTTAGCTGGCATCCTGCAGGGACAAGGCTGTTTGGAATGGGTTCACAAGAGAATGGGACGAGAGGAACTCTCTGGATAGAGAGTGAACGTGGGCAACGTGTCCGGGAAACTGGGTGATAGCTTTAGAGAAAGGTGAGGTCAAGAGGTTTTTTTCCTTAAAACAGAAGAAATGAGAGCAGTTTGTGAGCTGATGGAAATGAGCCTGTAGTAAAGGAAAGATCAGCGTACAGGAGGGATACAGGAGGGAGAGCGCCGAGCGAGGACAGCTCACAGGCACAGAAGGGGAGCACGGTGCCTGGGCTCACATGCGGGGTGTGTGTGTGTGTGTGTGTGTGTGTGTGTGTGTGTGTGTGTGATGTGAGGGCTGGCAGCTGGGGGTGTTGGCAGCTGAGGGGGGTCGGCAGGTGGTGTTGGGGCTTGAGAAAACAAGATGCAAAAACATGGCCTTCGGGTGTGGGCAGGGGAGGGGAAGTTTTGGGGGACTGCTGGGCACTTGAGGCCCATCTGGGGTCCTGGAGATTCGAATATCCATCGGGCAGAGGTGAGACCAGGCATCCTGCTTGCTTGCTCCTCTCCAGCCACGTCCGGCCCCAGGTGTGGCTGTAGGGAGGTGGAGACCTGGGACTGATGGGTTACAAAGTCAAGAGGTCCAGGAACAGAGAGCCGGGACTACACGTGTTACCTGTGTGGCCGTTGGAATCACTACAGATTATAAGGGATGGCTAGTGCTCGGGAGGGTTGCTGTGATCCGGAGTGAGCTCTGCAGGGGGCACGGGCAGGAGGGTTGTGGGTGCTGTGGTTTAGGGGCATGTTGTTTAAGACTGGATGATTTTGTTCTTTCTTTCCTTTAAGATTTATTTATTTGGGGCACCTGGGTGGCTCAGTTGGCTAAGTGTCAGCCCGTGGGCCTGGGTCTTGATCCCAGGCTCCCTGCTCAGTGGGGAGTCTGTTCCTCCCTCTCCCCCCCCCCCCCCCCGCTTATGCCTTGCTCTCTCTCAAATAAATAAAATCTTTAAAAAAAAAGATTTGTTTATTTTAGACATTGAGAGAGAGGGGAGAAAGAATGTGGCAGGGAGGGACAGAGGGAGAGAGAGAGGGAACCCCAAGCAGACTCCCCACTGAGTGCAGAGCCCACTGTGGGGCTGAGTCCCAGGACCCTGAGATCATGACCAGAGCCAAAATCAAGAGTTGGACGCTCAACCTATTGAGCTGCTCAGATGCCCCCAACACTGGAGTTTTGTAGACAGGAGGGAGGTTGGAGGGATGGAGGGGGCTTTGAGCAGCGAGGAAGACCTTCCCTTCCCTTGCCCAGACTGTCCCATCGGAGAGGGTGGCCGGGGAAGTGTGACCCCTGGGGAGGGCGGAGGTCAGAAAGAGCCAGGTTTCCTTCGTTGTTTAGGGACAGGCCCAGTGGAGGGGCGGATGTCAGGTGCCTGGAGTCCCCCCTGTGCCCCTTCCTCCCACCCCAAGCCCCCATCCCAGAGCATCCCTTATTCTGTAAGTCCTAGCCCAAGAGGCCATGAGTGCAGATCTTACTGAGTTCTGACCTGGTTCTGTGAGATGGGTGTGCAGCCCCAGCGTACAGAGGGGAGAGCTGAGGCCCCAGGAGCTCCAGCAACCACCCTGCAGGACGGCATATGGCTGAGGAAGGGCAGGGTCCGTGACTCCAGGCCATGTGCTTTCATGTCCCTTGGTGCCCTTTGCCTGAATCTTGAGTCAAGGCCTGCCTGCTGCCTCAGGTGGTGGGTAGTGCAGGGACCTGTGGATCCACAGAACGGGTGGGGGGGCCCCCTCCCTTTATCTGCTCCACCAGCCCGTGTTCTGGCACCGCATTGGGCTTGGAGATCTCTGAGGCAGCATCGCCCCAGCAGCCCAGATGGCACATCCCCCAGTTTCCTTTTCACTTTGTGAAGTCAGTGTTCTTGACCCGTGTACCATGAGGTCTTTGGGCCTTAGATGAGCTCTGGGATGGGTGGGCAGGAATGATATGGGTGAGGCTGTGTGCATTTTCTGGGAGAGGGCCTGTGGTAAGGTCTGCAAACCCTAAGAAGCGTGAGGTACCCTAAATCACTTTTGGGGCCTCTCCTAGCTGTCCTGAGAGACCCGCCTTCTGAGCCCCTGTCTCCTCTTTTGGTTTGTGGAGTGAGAGTATGAGGAAGCAGCTGACCTGGGGTCTCTGGGGTTGGCAGGGGTCTCCTCGCCACCCGGGAGGCGAGTAATGGCTCTTGACCTTTCTCTTACAGATCTCCAAGCCCTGGGACCCCTCGAGTCCAGGCCCTGCCTCCGAGAATGCAGGCTCTGCTAGCCCAGGTCTCCCCACGGAAGTCTCAGGCCTGGGCCCTGGGTCTCCCCGACATCGCTCACCCGATGAGGGGTCTCCCCGACTTCGCTCACCTGATGAGAGCTCTCCCCACCACTCTCAGCTTCCGGAAGCCCAGAGTCCCACAGTTTCTGGGCCCTCTCCCTGCCTCCCTGTGACCCCAGCATCCCCAACTGTAGCCCTGCCCGATGAGAGTCAGAGCTCCTGCTGTTCCCCGAGCTTAGGGCTTCCTGCTGTGGCAGCCCCAGAGGCCCCTGCAAATGGCAGCCTGGCCCTTGAGAGCATCTCAGGGCACCATGGCCTGGAGAAGCCCCCAGCTACCTCTGCCCAGCCCCTGCCTGAGGGGAGTGACTTGCTGGATCTTCCTCGGACGTTTCCATCTGGGGATGTGGTAGCCAGGGGTGACCAAGACCGTCCTCCCAACAGCCTGGCTCAGCGCCGATTTTCTGAAGGTGTGCTCCGGCCGCCTGGCCAAGACCAGGAGAAGCTGGGGGGCTCACTGGCTGCTCTGCCCCAAACCCAGGGGAGCCAGTCTGCCCTGGATCGTCCCTTTGGGAGTGGGACAGAGTCCAACTGGAGCTTGTCCCAGTCCTTTGAATGGACCTTCCCTACTCGGCCTTCGGGTCTGGGGGTGTGGCGGCTGGACTCCCCACCTCCCTCCCCCATCACTGAAGCCACTGAGGCTGCTGAGGCCGCTGAGGCTAGTGACTGGGCTGCATCCAGCAGAGAGGAAGGAGCGTCCCAGCAGGGGCGAGGGACCCAGTCAGCTCCAGAGGGGCCAGGAAGTCCTGGTTCCCAGGTGCAGGCGGATGATCCAGGCATCTCCCCAACCCAGAAGGGTGATGGGGAGAGTCAACCTCAGTTGCCAGTTGATCCCCTCAAGCCCTTATCACCACCTGGGGGTCCACCTGGAGTGGCCTTGCTGCAGGCAGAGGAGAGATATGAGGAGCGGGAGCCCCTGGCAGGACAGGAGTCTCTGCTCCCTCTGACCACCAGGGAGGCTGCTCTGCCCATTCTGGAGCCAGTCCTGGGGCAGCAACAGCCAGCACCCCCTGACCAGCTCTGTGTCCTCTTTGCGGATACCCTTGACCCCCAGCAGGCATTGCCTGCTGAGGAGGAGGCCATGACCTTGGCCCAGGCTGAGGCCACCCAATCCAGGACAGAAGGTCGAGACCCTTGTAGTGTGTCCCCCGAGCCTGCAGGCCCCGACAGCAGCTCCCGCTGGCTGGACGACCTCCTGGCCTCGCCACCACCTAGTGCTGGCAGCACAAGGCGGGGAGCTGGATCCGAACTGAAAGACACACAGACCCCAGGTGCCTGCTCTGAGGTGAGGACCGATGGCACGGGGAGACCTCGGGATGGAAGCAGAGCTTCGGTGGGCTTTCTTTCAATGTGGATTTTATGTGTCTCGAGCTCAGGATACAGCCGTGAGCAAGGCACTTGTAGCTGTGTCCCTCAGGGCTGTACAGTGTGGCAGAGCTGATGGAGGAGGGGGTGCGGGACTGGTGTGCGTTCATAACCCAGCTCCAGCTCCCACTGGCTGAGCGGCCTTGCTAACGTACCCTAACTCCTGAGCTTCACAGACCTTTCACAGTAAGAGCTTTGGCCTCTTCGGGTCTTACTGTGGTAGAATGAGAGGCGGAAGGGGCACAGTGCAGTGCTCGACGTGTGCTGAGCCTTAAGGCCGTCTTTGCAGACGGGATTGTGGACGCAGCGTAGCACAGCCACTTAGCGCACGGGCTCTGGAGCCAGACTGCCTGGCTACTCTGCTGTTTGCCCACATGTGACCTGGAGCAGGTTACTTTCCTGGGCCTCGCCTTTCTCTGTCTGTAAAATGGGAGTGACAGCGATGAAGTCTCCCTCCCATGGCAAAGACTAAGGAAGCCGTGTTACCTGTAACGCACCAAGAATAGCGCGTGGCTCATCCTGAGTTTGCTGGGGGCTGGCTTTATGGACGCTGTTACCCTTGAGCTCGAGACCTGCCTTGTAGACAGGCAGCTGAGGCCCAGAGGAGGCTGAACCTCAGGCAGGGTTACCCAGCAAGTTGGCGGCTGGGCCTGGGTCAGGGTGCCGTGCCAGGCCTCTGGCCTGTGCCCTTTCTACTACCAGGCTGCTCTGAATTTAAGGGCTGGGGTCCAGGTGGCTTTTGAAATGTCTTTCAAGGCCAGCCTGGGCTGGTAGGGGCGGGCTGGAAGGAAGGAGGAGCCAGGCGGCCCCTAGGGGCAGAGGGGTGGAGGAGGAGAAGGGGGAACAGGAAGGAGTTAAGACCGCCTGGCTCCTGGTAGGTGTGTCTGTCCCGGGCTCCGGGTGACTCAACGGGCTTCTGGGCGGGGTTGCCAGAGCTGCAGCTGCCGCGGAGGGAGCGCGAGGGAGCGGGGCCAGGGCGAGCGGGAGCCAGAGTGGTTGGACAGGTCCGGGCGAGGGGAGCGGCCCAGCCCTGTCCCTGTGCCCGGCCGCACCCAGCAGCACCCAGCAGCCCGGGGCGGGCCGGGGGCAGGGGCCATGGCCCGGCTTGGGGACCGGGAACCCAGCACATCTGTCTTGGAGAGGCTGTTAGCCAACGCGGCGCTGAGGGATGAGGCGGGCCGGCTCCATGAGCCCCAGGCTCCCCCGCCTGAAGGGGTGAGTCAGGGGGTGTGGGGTGTGGGTGGGGTGCACGGAGTCCTGGGGCTGGCTCCTTTGCCTGTGGCAGAGGCTGTCCCTCCTGTGTCCTCCAGGAATAAGGCGAGGGCTACAGGGTCTTCCTGGGAAGGGCCAGGCAGAGGGTACTTTCCACGGGGAAGATGGGCTGGGAGCTTCAGGAAGGGGTGAGTGGGGCCAGGGGCAGGGTCGGACTGTTCCTTGTGCAGGGCCTTGGAGTCTTGAGCACCCCTAACAGAAGCGTACCCCTTTCATACCACTCCACCAGGCAGCCTTTCTCTTGGCGGATAGCCAAGTGTTGCCCAAGGGCTGTAAACATGACCGTGGGTTCATTGATTGAGTGCCCCTTGCAGGCTGGGTGCTATGCTGAGGTTGGGTTTAAACGGTCTTGCTTAATTCTCCCAAACCACCCAGGCAGGAGGAATTCTTCCCATTTAAGGGTGAGGACCCTGAGGCCCAGAGTGGTTAAGTGATTTGCTCCAGGTCACACAGCTGGGATCGAAGCCCAGCCTTTCTGTAGCCAAAGTGGGCTCTCGGGTTGTGGGCTGTGCTGTCTCATCCTGGACTCTCACCCTGGTTGACTAAGCATTGTTTCTTTGTGTGTCTCTTTTTTTCCTGATTCCTAGGGACTCCTTGGCTGGGCCCAGAAAGATCTGCAGAGTGAATTTGGGATTACCGCAGACCCACCTCCTGGCAGTTTTAGTCCTTCCAGCTGGTCACAAGACACTTCTCACAACTATGGCCTTGGGGGTGCAAGCCCTAGAGGGGACCCAGGCCTCGGAGGAGAAGGGGACTGGACTGACAAGCATGGGCAGGGAGCAGGGGAAGGGAGCACCAGGGAGTGGGCCAGCAGGTGTGGCATGGGCCAGGACAGTGTGGAGGTCACCGGCCGGAATGGCAGTGGAGTGTCGGCCCCGGGGGCCCTTGCAGCCCAGGACTGGGTGATTGGAAAGCCATCCCAGCTGGGTGCTCAGCAGAGCCAGGAGGCAGATGTTCAGGACTGGGAGTTCAGAAGGAGGGACTCCCAGGGCACCTACTCCAGCCGGGATGCGCAACTCCAAGACCAGGAATTTGGGAAGAGAGACTCGTTGGGTACTTACAGCAGTCGAGATGTAAGCCTTCAGGACTGGGAATTTGGGAAGAGAGATTCTCTGGGAGCTTATGGCAACCAGGATACAGATGAGCAGAGCCAGAACTTGGGGAAAAAGGACCTCCTTGGCAGGTATGGCAGCCAGGATGCAGACGGGGAGGACCAGGAGTTTGGGAAGAGAGAGTCTTCACGCGGCACCTATGGCAGCCGGGGCGCAGAGCAGCCGGATCAGGATTTCGGGAAAAGCGCCTGGCTGAGGGACTACAGCAGTGGCAGCTCCACAGCCCCCGGCCCCCAGGACAGAGGCTTCGGGATGAGAGCCCTGAGCGCTGGCTTCAGCCCTGAGGAAGCCCAACAGCAGGATGAGGAGTTTGAGAAGAAGGTCCCGAGTGGTGGAGACAGCCCAGGCGACACCAGCAGGGACGCAGGCCAGCCTGAAGAGAGAGAGTCCGGGGGCCTGTTCAGCCCTAGCACCCCCCTGTCCCAGGACGGGCCACTGGCACAGAGAGACCAGAGCAGCTGGCATGGTGGCGGGGCTGGCCAGGAGGCTGGTGGGCAGCAGGGGAGGCAGCAGGCGGGGGGCCAGAGCCCCGGCAATGCTGGCCAGGAAGACAGGGAGGTGGGCCACCGAGGCTGGGGGGGTGACTTCGGCCTTGGCGTCGTCTCCCAGCCCGAGGCCACCTTCAGCCCGGGCCAGCGAGATTGGAGCGGTGACTTCTGCACGGAGGCTTCCGAGAGAGGCCACCAGTTTGGCATCATCGGTGACGACCGGGCAAGCGGTGCTGCCCTGAGCCCTCCTGGCCAGATGGCCGGGGGCCGCTTTGTGCTTCCGGAGAAGACCTCAGCTGGGCCCGTGGACTGGAGCGACCAGCTGGGCCTCAGGAACTTGGAGGTGTCCAGCTGTGAGGGTTCTGGGGGCTCGAGTGAGGCCAGGGAGGAAGCTGTGGGACACCTGGGCTGGTCAGACAAGCTGGGCCTGAGAGATGTGGACCTGGCCGGCCGTTTGGAGGCTGGAGGGTCTGAGGAGCCCAGGGGGTTTGGAGTCGGGGAGAAGGAGGACTGGACCTCTGATGTTGGGGTGAGGAGCAGAGATCTGGCTGGTGTCGGAGAGGTAGGGGGCCCCAGCCAGGCCAGAGAGAGTGGCGTGGGGCAGACTGACTGGTCTGGTGTGGAAGCCGGAGAGTTCCTTAAATCAAGGGAGCGTGGGGTGGGGCAGGCCGACTGGACGCCAGATCTCGGGCTGAGAAGCATGGGCCCGGGGGCAGGCTGCAGCCCCAGACAGCTTGGGGCCGGCCAGGTGGACTGGGGCAGCAGTCTGGGCCTGAGGAATTTGGAGGTGCCATGTGACCCCGAGTCTGGAGGTTCTCAGGACCCACGGGGATGTGGAGTGGGCCAGATGGACTGGACCCAAGACTTGGGACTCCGGGATATGGAGCTCTCAGGGGCCCCGAGTGAAGTCAGGGAGCGTGGGGTGGGAGAGGTCAGCCAGTGCCCAGACCTAGGGCTCAGGGACAGCAGGGCCTTGTCCCTGGGCCTGGAGGCCAGAGAGCAGGGGCCTGGCGAGACAAGCGGGCCAGAGACCCAGGGTGAAGACCCCCCTGCACCTTCCCCAGAGACCTGCCCTGAGGATCCCGGGATGGAGGCTGGAGAATCCCCTGGCTTTGGAAACAGGTAAGGGAGCCCCATCCTCGTGTGGGAGGGAAGGGCTGGCAGCTTTCTAAAACATTGAACCTTTTTCAGGAAGGAAGAAACTGCTTTCCCCGGGGAAAGGGGAGAGGAGGGTTTGGAAAATTGAGAAGGTTTGGACTGTGAATCACTGATTTTACTTTTTAAAAAAAAATATTAATTTATTTTAAAGATTTTATTTATTCATGAGAGATACAGAGAGAGGCAGAGGCATAGACAGAGGGAAAAGCAGGCTCCCTGTGGGGAGCCGCATGGGGGACTCGATCCCAGGACCCCGGGATCATGACCTGAGCCAAAGGCAGACGCTCAACCAATGAGCCACCAGGCATCCCTACATTTTTTTAAATTGAAATGTGACACACATGCAGGTGAATTTTTTTTTTTTTTTTTTTTTTTTTTGGTGATGATTGCGGTGTTTGAGGGACTGTTCGTCTGCTGCCCGTGCTTTAGGCTTCTTGGTGACGTCGTATTGCGACTGTCCTGGAAGAACGGGTGTGGGGCCCATCTCTGAGTTCCGTTGTTGTGCACAGCACCTGTTTCCAGGTGTTTTGGCCCAAAGCCTCGGGTCTTCCCGGGCTAGGTCACGTGGATGCTTTCACGGCATTGGCAGGAGGACTGGACCCTGTGTCCCGTTGGCCTGGGCCACTGCAGGTTAGGAGTGGAGCGGACAGAGGCGCTCATTCCTTGCAGAGACGGGGAACCTAGTGCTTCCTGCCTGCCCTGTCGTGAGGCCTGGAAGAGCAAACAGTTTAAGATCCTGAAGGTCATGGAGACCTGGCTCCTGACCCCGTGATCTTGGCCTCCGTGCACATGGTGACGGAGAGGGAACTTTCCAGAGGAATAGACCAGTAGTTTTATGAGCCAACCACAGCTTGTCCCAGGGATTTTTATGTTCTGAAAGTAGCTGACGTGATTTCACACCTGCAAGGGGTACTAAAAAGACATTGCGTCTGTTTTGTTAACATGTCCTGTTCATTGAGATGGGGTTTTATTCTCTTGACTGCATAGAAGGTTTTCTTTCTTTCTTTCTTTCTTTCTTTCTTTCTTTCTTTCTTTCTTTCTTTCTTTCTTTCTTTCTTTCTCTTTCTTTCTTTCTTTCTTTCTTTCTTCTTTCTTTCTTTCTTTCTTTCTTTCTTTCTTTCTTTCTTTCTTTCTTTCTTTCTTCTTTCTTTCTTTCTTTCCTTTCTTTCCTTTTCTTTCTTTCTTTCTTTCTTTCTTTCTTTCTTTCTTTCTTTCTTTCTTTCTTTCTTTCTTTCTTTCTTTTTTTAAGATTTTATTTATTTATTCATGAGAGAGAGAGAGGCAGAAGGAGAGGCAGGCTCCCCACAGGGAGCCCAATGTGGGACTCTGGGGTTACGACCTGAGACCTGAGCCAAAGGCAGATGCTCAACCACTGAGCCCCCCAGGCGCCCCCGAAGGTTACCTTTCTGAAGAAGCTGAAGCTTCTCAACTGCCCAGTCAGGGAAGAAGGGGAAGAAGGGAAGGGAGGGAGGTGTTGGATGGGGGCCGTGTTGTGAATGGAAGGGGCTGCTGGTAGTGGCAGGGGGGTTGGGGGAGAAAACCTGGAAGGGTCTAGAGGGAACGGTGGGGGTGGGGGTGTTGCTTGATGGGTTGGGGAGGCACCAGGGTTCAGGAGAAGGAGGGAGAGAGAGAGAGGAAGGTGGGGAAGCACTGGGGTGGGGGCTGCAGGGCAGGGGTGGGTTCACAGGATGGGGAGTTGGGGGCTCCTGGAATCTTGGATGCTGTCTCTGAGCCTCACCTTCTCACGTTCGCCCCAGGAGGCTTTACGGTTCCTAGTGCCCCGGGGTTGCTCTTGGTTTCTGTCACCCACACGGCTACTCTGTGGGGCCCAGCGCTCGGCTATCCATCTTACCTCAACCTTCACAGCTGCCCCGTTCTGTGGAAAGGGATCAGTACCATGTCCAGTTTGCACGTAGATGAGGGGTGTGACCTGCTTACGGTCGCACAGTCAGCAGTGCTGCTCTCTGGCTTCGGTGTCCGCATCATAAATGCTGTCAGGTGTGGTCACAGTGCTCGGGAGTCTCAGGCTGCCGACGAGCTGGGCCCATGGCCCTCCACCCTTCCCCTCTGCCTGGGTGGCTCTTGAGAAGGGGAAGGAGGAGAGTATCTTTCCCTTGGTTCAGGAGAGGGGTGGGGGCTACTGGGGGGCCGCAGGGCCTGGATTGGGAAGAGGAAAGTAGGAGTGGAGAAGCAGGCGTCCTCAGCGCCCAGCCGGCTGAGCTTCGGGCTCTAACCTGCCTTTAAGCCGCTCTGGTGTTCTGTCTGTGTTGTCCATTTGGGAGACGTGGAGTGTTTGTGCACGAGCACGTGCTAGCCCGTGAAAGCACAGGCATGAGGAAACCTGTTCAACGCTCTGTAGCACAGGGTTTTGCAGACTTGACTCCTATCCAGGAAGTTCTGGGCATCTGACTTAGGGAAATCCTATACCCTGGAAAATTGCTCTTTGAAGGAAGTTTTGGAGGTTCCCCTGGGAGGTCCTTGAGGCCAGTTCAGAGTAGTCTGGGTTTGGGTCCATCTGCCAGGTTTGAGTCCTGATTCAGCCACCACCTCTGTGACCTTGGGCAAGTTCCCTTCTCTCTGTCTCTCAGAGCCTCCTGTTTCTTATCTGTACACTGGGAGTAATTTACGCCCCACACTCACAGGATTAAGAGTCTCAGACACACATCAAGTGATAGAAAACTGCTTGGCACGTGGTAATCACTGAAAAAAATTCTTGCTACTCAAAATTGTATCCGTTTTGCAAATTTGGATGGATCTGAGCTGTCTTGAGTGAGGCCCTTGGGGATGTTTTTGTCATTGACTCTGTGTGGGACAAAGGTACCCTTGATGGACTGCTGTCCAGCACAGTTTGACAGGACCAGAATGGTATGGCTGGGTCATAGGGGCAGCTCAGGCCCCTTCTCTGTGTCTAGGGCCACCTTTTCCTGGTGGGAGTGGCTCTCTCGGGTTCCCCAAGAGCTCATGCACTGCCCCCTCTTCTCTGTGACCTCCTGGTCATCTCCTGCCCTTCCCCTGGGCCTCAATGATATGGGGACCTCAGTCATTTTGGGCTGTTCATAGAATCTCCTCAGAGATCATAGAGGCCAGCTCCCTCATTTCAGTGGGTGGGGAAACTGAGGTCTAGGGAGGCAGTGTGACTTGCACAAGGTCCATGGCTGGTGATTACGGGCTCCCTCATGTTCCCTCAGGCCCCAGCCTTGTCATCCTCTCTCTCGGTGTGTTTCCTGTCTCTCTGGGGTCCAGGCCATCTGCTGCCCCTTTAGGCACATCATTCCAGCTGCAGGCCTGAGCCTCCTTTATTTTGGGTCTTGGAGCCTTGAATATGGGGAAGCTGGCTTTGTGCACATTGACTACATGCCCTTCCCTAGGCTCTGCCCCACAATGGCGGTGGGGGGTGGGGTGCAGTTGGACAGAGTCTCCTGAGGGTCAGGAGATGAGGGTCCTGACCCTCAGGAGACTCTAAGTCCAGATGACTCAGGGATGAGGGGTATAGCTGGTATAAGATGTGACAAGTCCTCAGGCCAGGAACCTGTGTTGAGGATGCTGATTATCCTGAAAGAATTAAAATTTAAAAAAATTATTTATTTAGAGACAGGGAGGGAGCAGGCATGAGCGGGGGAGGGCAGAGGGTGCAGGGAGAGAGAGAATCCTCAAGCGGACTCCCTGCTGAGCTGGAACCTGAGCCAAAATCAAGGGTTGGTCGGTCAACTGGCTGAGCTACCCAGGTGCCCCGATTATCCTAAAAATGTATCAAAACTTAGCACACAGTGGTGTGTGCTGGGCACACATTTCCAATGTGTTGCCAACAGACCCAGCAAAGTATAGGTCTTTTATTATCCCCGATTTGCAGATGAAGAAACTGAGGCTCAGAGTGGGTAAGTAGGCAGGTGGTGTAGGGGTGGAGCCTGTAGCTGTGCCCACGGCAGCCCTCGGCACAGGCCCTGACCATTCTTCTCTCCTGCTTCCCTGCCAGGGCGGGGTCAGGTTGCAGGTGTTCTGGTGCACAGAGGCAGGAAGGCTTCTCTGGAGCTAGAGTTTAGGCAGGCCGGCAAGGAGGATGCACACCATGTTCCCCAGTGCACTTCCCGCCCTCCCTTCCTCGTGGCCCCCCCAAAGCCCACTAGTTCTTCCTCTGCCCTCTGCCCACGCGGCTGGGGTCCACATGGTGGATGTGGATGTGGATCTTTCCATCCACCCATTGCTGTTCCACATCCCCTTGACTCTGCTGGCCTGCCCTCAGCCTGGTCTCTGCCCCACCCCAGGGAGAGGCGTTAGGCGGGGCCTCCTCAGGCTGGGTGGGGTGCCGCCACCGCCCCCTCCCTCCCCGGCCTCCGTGATTTTAAGCTGAGGGTGAGCTGGCTCTGGCCCCCATCCAGGGCTGCGCCATTCCTGGCCTTGCTGCACTTCTGCTGCCACCTCCGCCACCCCCTCACCCCCTGACCATTTTTATTTCCTTCCATCTGTCAGCAGCTTGTGGAAGGACCGACTGACACACGTTCTCTCCTGCCCTCCCCGCTTCCGGCCTGGTCCTGACTCACCTGCCCTATACTCCTCCCCTTCCAGTCCCTTTGGGAACTCTCTGAGGCCTGGCTTCCGGGCACTGCCCCTGCCTGCCTTTCCCACGCCTGCCTGCCCGGCTGCTGCCCGTGTGTGTGTGTGCGTGTGTGTGTGTGTGTGTGTGTGTGTATTGGGGTGTGGCTCTGCTGTGCTTCTGGGGGTGGGTCCTACATGTGCCTTGAGGGAAGTGTGTTGTGAGTGTGCATAGGGTGTGTCCATATTTCAGGGGGTGGCAGCTGGCCCACACACCAGCTCCTTGTGTGAGGTATGTGAGTAAGCATGTGTGCTGAGCCGGGTGTGTCTGTCGTGTTTTGAGGGAGCAGCGGGCCGAAGATGCACAGGCCGCATTGAGGTGCAAGGTGATCTAGCCTGTCAGTGGATGGCGAACATTTGCTCAATCCTCCTCCTGGCTGGGCCGAGCCCAGGGGCCGTCTTTGCCCTTGAGCGGTTCCCACATGGGCTCTGAGGCAGGGGCTGGTGCGGGTGGGGGCCCCAGGCTCGCAGGGCTCAGGAAGGGGGGCTGCGGCTGGGGGTGGAGAGGGGCCAGCCTCAGAAGAGGAATGGACCCGTGAGGGGAAGAGGAGCGCAGGGCAGTGGGGGAGCCTTCCAGGCCAGGGAACAGCTTGTGCACATACACCGCAGTCTGCAAAGGCAGTGGTGTGTTTGGGGGAGTCCCTGGACGTTCTGTGAGGCTGGGGTGCAGGGAGGGATGCTGCAGGGGCCAGTGCCTGGCATGTCCCAGGGAGAGTGACCACCCAAGCATCTGCCCCTGTGAGGAGCACATGGACAGCAGTAATGATTGTGGTCAGTGCTGGGGACACGCTGGGTGCCAGTCACTGTGCTTTGTGCTGTGGTTCCCATCTCAGTCCCCAGCAACTCTTGGGGGTTAGAGGGTCCTGAGGCCTTGGTGGGTGGAGGGACCTGTCCACAGCCTCAGTAAGTGGCGGACCTGGGATTTGAACCAGGCTGCCCACCTTGCCCGCTTTGTGCTGTACTGTTCGAGGCCCCAACCATGTCCTTTCAGAAGGAAGGTGTCTGGGAAAGCATGGAGAGGCAGGAGAGGGAGAGCCTGTTGGAGGGGGGCACAATACTGGGAAGTAGGCTTTGGGGGAGGAAGATGGGGCCTCATGGGTGACCTTGTCCTCTGGTCTGTCTCCTTTGCAGTCCTGCCGGCTGCCCGGCCCGCTCCCCGCCCTCTGGCTCCCAGGGCCTGCTGGAGGACATGCTGGCCACCAGCAGCTCCAGGGTGGCAGTCCGTAGGGGGTCAGCGGCCTCGGGCCCCAGGGGCCTGTTGGAGGAGGACGGAGCCACAGTGGGTGCCGACACAGGGGAGCCCCTCGAGCCTAGCGGGGCCCCTCTGCTTTCCTGGAGGCCGCAGCCTGATGGTGAGGCCAGCCAGATGGAAGAGGTGGACGGCACCTGGAGCCCTTCAGGGGTCGGGCAGGGCGCCCAGGGCCCGACACGGCCCCCTCGGCGGCCCCCTCAGGGCCCTCCACCCCGCTCTCCCAGTCAGGACTTCTCCTTCATTGAGGTCAGTGCAGGGTGAGCCCAGGGCAGTGGTTGGGCTGTCGGGGGCACATGGGCGACATGGCCCGAGGCTGGTCCCTGGGGCTTCCCTGAGTGGCGTCAGCCCCCGGGGAGGGGGGCAAAAGGAGGGCAGTGGGTGAGCCCTCTGAACAGGGCGCTGTAGGCTGCTGGAGGGATGCGCTGTTGAGGGTTCCCGTGGGACCGCAATGGCAGTGGTGTTGCTGTTGTCCCGACCAGGACACCGAGATCCTCGACAGCGCCATGTACCGGAGCCGAGCCAACCTGGGGCGCAAGCGTGGGCACCGGGCCCCGGCCATTCGGCCCGGGGGCACCCTGGGCCTCTCGGAGGCAGCCGACTCGGACGCACGCCTGTTCCAGGACTCTACGGGTAGGCCCCTGTCTGGTGGGGTGACGTCTGGGTCTGCGTGGGGGCGGTGCTCCGGGCTCGCTGTCGTGCTGAACCTCTGCTCTGGGCCCTTGCAGAGCCACGGGCTTCTCGGGTGCCGTCTTCAGACGAGGAGGTGGTGGAGGAGCCTCAGAACCGCCGGACACGGATGTCCCTGGGCACCAAGGGGCTGAAAGTCAACCTGTTTCCTGGCCTGAGCCCGTCAGCCCTGAAGGTAGCATCTTAATCGGCCAGCGCATCCAGCCCCTCTGGCCCCTAGCCCCCGAGCGCCTGCCTGGGGTTTCTTCTGTCCATCCATCCGTCCATCCTTCCCTCCCTCCCATTCTCCTGTCGTCTGCTCCCCCTGAGGGCCCTGTTGGGTCCCGAGTGGGATGGGAGGAAGAACAAGGCATTCCTTCCCATCCCAGAGTCCCAGAACCTCACGAGGCGAGGAGGACACACGCCCTGTCTCCAGTTAGCTCTGGTGAAGGGCCGAGCTGCAGGTGTGGGGTTGGGGACAGATACAGTACAATACAGATAAGGGTTGGGCCTCTTCTGGGGGTGGGGGCGGAGGGTCGGGGTGAGGTGTGACTTCTGACCCATGGACCTGCCTGCTGGATGGGAGGGTGTATGGGGAAGGGCTCGTGGAAGTGCCGGATCTTAGCTTGAGGCATGTGTAGAGCTGGCTGTGGAGGGCGGGGTGATGGGGAGGAGTTCCAGGCAAAGGGAACTGGATGAACGGAGGCACAGGGCTGGGAAGGCACTGCCGGCTTCGTCCAGCCCAATTGTCTGGATTCAGTGGAACAGAACCTTCACGAGGACCTACTCCGTGCAGGGTGTGGCTCAGGCAACTTCCCGTCCCTCTGGGTTAAAGGACTGCAGAGGGGTCTGTGCCTGATTCTGGGGACGGCTCCTAAGAGAAGGCCTTGCCCTCTGAATCATCCTGCTCCTTCCTCTGACATCTGTCTGCACTTGGGCTCGTCTCACAGGCCAAGCTGCGCCCCCGGAACCGCTCAGCTGAGGAGGGGGAGTCTGCGGAGAACAAGCCAAGCCAGAAGGAGTCCGCGGTGCAGCGTTCCAAGTCTTGCAAGGTCCCCGGGCTGGGGAAGCCCCTTGCGTTACCTCCCAAGCCAGAGAAATCCTCAGGGTAGGTGACCTCGACTGGCCTCGCTGGGTGGGCCAGAATTAACCGTGTTTATGTCCTAAGGCTTGCCTAATGACGTTTGCCCTGTGCCATCTAGGTCAGAAGGATCATCACCCAACTGGCTACAAGCCCTGAAGCTGAAGAAGAAGAAGGTCTGAGAAGTCCTCGAGGTAAGAGTGGGTTCCTGGGCTTGGGTTGGCAAGACCTGCACGGGAGGGTTCAGGAGGCCCCTTGCCTTCTTCTAGGCCTTTCTGTCCCCCTTCTCTGTGAGCCTGGCAGCAGCCCAGGGGAGCCAAGCTCTAGGACACCTGGTGGGTCCCTTGGTTCCCCTTAGATTTTGCCCACAGAATCCAGTGTTGTCCGGCCTGGGATGATGGGGAGGAGGGCTGCATCCTGGCTTCCTCTCTGGGCTCAAGGATGGTCCCCACGGGCCCCCAACCCCTTGCCCCCAACCCTTCCTCCCTGGGCTCAAGGATGGTCCCCACGGGCCCCCAACCCCGTGGCTGGCCCAAGTGGGGTCAGCCTGCCCTTCTGGTATTTATTAGGCTCAAGGGCCCCAGGGGGGACCCTCCTTACCACGAGGCTCAGTGGGGGGAGCCAGGATAGGCAGGGGACAGGAAGCCAGAGCTGAAGTGGCTCCTCTGCCCACCATGATGTACCCCCTGACCCCTTCTTCCCCTCCTCCCCTTGCAGGTCCTTCCATCTGGCAGTCTCAGGCAATGCCCATTCCTGTGGGGTCCCCGGCGAGGAGACGGCTGGAGCCCCACCAGGCCCCAGGCTGCAGCCTCTGTCCCCTCCACGTCTGAGGAGCGTCTGGGGAGGCACATTTATGCACTTTGTATCCCCCTGCCCTTCCTGACTCCCCCCCACTCCCTCCTGACCAGATTCAGGCATTAGTGGTTGAAGGTTTGGTCCCTCCTCCCTCGCTCTCGACACCCCCCTCTCTGCTTCCTCCTCCAGCCTCCCCCGGGTTTTCTTTTGATATCAATTTATAGCATTTTTTATAAAAGCCTTTGATTTTTGTAACGGGCGGAGCCCTGCCCCCGCCCAGGCCTCCCTCCGTCCTGCCAGGTGCCCCACAGAGACCAATAACATTTTGCCACTTGAAACAATAAAGTTTTTTGGGAATTGGTGCTGCCCAGGCTGTGGTGTGTGGTTGCGGCACCCCGACCCCCATGCCAGACCAGCGTTGGAAAGTGCTGGGCCTGGCCCCTGCCCACGGGAGCTCACTGTGCCGCTGCCTGCTCCCTTTCCCGGTGCTCGGGGGCTCAGTGTCCCTGAGGAGGGGTGTACTGCTGACGGGAAGCTGACTGCCGAGTCACACAACCCCCACATCTCAGGAGCTTGACACAGGGTTATTTGCCGCTCATGGCAGTCTGGGGGGTGGGTTGGTGGTAGGGACGCTCTGCACCTCATAGTCACTCGGGAGCCAGTTCTTCCCTGCGGTGGCTTGGCTCTCTGCAGGGGCTCCGGAGTCCCCCAAGACACCCAGGGGAGAGTGGACGGAAGGTCTTTGGGGAGACCTTTCCCCAGGACCACAGGATGGGACCTTTCCATTGGCCAGAACTGAACTCAGGGCCCTTGCCAGCAGAGGTGGGCGTGGGTGGGTGGGTGGGGAGCGCCTGTGGTGGGAAGTGTGGTTTAGCTGTGTGGCCAGGGAAGACTGGGTGCAGGTGAAGAGTCAGCCTTCCTGCCGGTGTCTGACTTCTGTTGCTCCCTAAGGGCCCCTTTAGCCCATACATTCTGGAAGGTGCACGGGGCCCTGACCTCCTACTCGGCCTTCTTCTGTGTCATCCTGTGTTCCCCAGACTCACCAACTGCTTTCTCTGAGGCTGGTTGAAGGGAGAGAGGCTCCTGCGGGCCTCGCCTTGATGGGGACTGAACTGAGCCACTGAGGTCAGATACACCTGAGTTTGGAAATCATTGCATTTGCCAGAGCATCTTAGCTTTTTATTTTATTTTAGGAGAATCTAGAGGCTGTTGACCTAATTTGAGAATTTGACCAAAGCTGTGGATGCTCTAGAAAAATGCACGTATACATACCATACCCACAGCAGCCTGGAATTCCCAACGCGGACCTCCTAGAGCAGTGGTTCTTCACCTTCACCATGAGCACAGCCCCTGTGGTGCTATTTAAAAATGCACATTCCTGGGCCCCCACTAGGCTTCCAATCCAGTAGCTCTGCCCAGGAATCTGCATTTCGAGAAGCCCCCCCTGAAGTAGAGGGGAAAGACAGGTGAAGGGGCCTCGGGCTGGTGCCTGGGTCTGTGCCAGGCAGCCCCCATGCCAACCCTCCCAGGGCCCAGCAGAGCCTAGCCGGTGAGCTTTGTCCTCTTCCCTCCCATTCTCTTTTCCTTGTAGGAGTAGGACTGGCAGGAGCCCAAGCCAAACACTTAAGACTCATTAGTGGGACAAATGGAGCCTGGGCTGTCCCAGTGCCCGGGCTCTGCTGGGAGGGAGAAGAGATGGGCCGGCTCCCAGGGAAGGCAGAGCCAGATCTGGTGTGTGGGTGGGGGGTGTCCTCTGCGCACCCTCTGCCTGGAGAGTGGCTCAGGGCCTTTGCTGGGAGCCCAGGAGAGAGGGCAACCCACTCAGGCTTTGACCACAAAGGCAGGTGTGTGACAAATGCCACAACTGGGATGGTAACATTCTTGTGCTGCCATTTCTCAGACCGAGCCTGGGGTTCTTGAGAGTCACCTCAGACAGCTGGGTGGTGGTGGTCTTTTGCCTGGTTTTGGATTTTGGAGACCACTGAAAGTCACTTGGAGGCTTGCGTTGTGGAGATACTCTGGGCAATCCAGGAAGCTGATCGTTTTAGTCAAAGGTGGCTCTGAAGGCATTTTCTGAAGAGGTGAATGAGCTCTGGAAGAGTCGAGCATACAGCCTCTCAGGCTAAAGGCAACAGCTCAATGTGTGTATGCAGGAATCCACCCCTTTCCAGTCCTTTCCCTGCGTGTTAGGCAGCGGAGCTGTCCCTTCCCGAGAACCTTGTCCCGATTTCATCAAAGTTAGAAATGTCTCAACACTGCCTCTCCCCTCTCCCTTGCTTCTGAGGCCCTCACCAAGAGCCCGGCCACATACAGATCGGATACCTGATGATGGGGGAAGCCTTTGGGAACTGGACAGGAGTGGAGCCCAGGGGGTTGTCTCGCGTGGCCTCCCCTCCAGGAGCTGGAGTTGGTGTTCCGGGTCGGGCTGAGCCTGAGAACCAGCTGGCCTTCGCTGATGGTGCCCTTGGGATCTGACTGGTGATGCTGGGTGTTGGGCGGAGTCTTCTGAAGGATTGCTGCCCACTTAGCTCTTCCTCCTTCCAGTGTCCTGTCCCCAAATGTGGTCCAGCCACGGGCCGTGGTCATTGCCTGTCCCGAGAGGGTTGGAGACAGAACCCTGGATGTCCCCTTGGATGGAGCAGTAATTCCTCGTCCGACGGCCCAGAGAGGCTGAAGCTGGTGGACAGGATGTCCTTGGGGCCGATTTGCCTCTAGAGTCTCACTGAGCCAGAAGCGGAGGCTCACCTGGGACAAGCCCTTTGGCCTCTGCTGCCGCTGCCCTGGCTCCCTTTTCCTCCCAGCAAGTGCTGATTGATCACAGGCAGGAAAAGCACTGGCCGGTTTCAGAGGCACACCCCCTGCCCTGGGGGAGAGCCAGGCCCTCAGGGCTAGAGCCTCCTGAGCCCAGTGATAAAGTGGTTTTTTTTTTTAATAAATTTTTATTTATTTATGATAGTCACACACAGAGAGAGAGAGACAGGCAGAGACACAGGCAGAGGGAGATGCAGGCTCCATGCACCGGGAGCCCGACGTGGGATTCGATCCTGGGTCTCCAGGATCGTGCCCTGGGCCAAAGACAGGCGCCAAACCGCTGCGCCACCCAGGGATCCCCGATAAAGTGGGTTTTAATCCCTGCCAGAGAAACAGCTCCAATTATACTTTCATTTACATAGCGCTCTGTCTCCAAAGGGCCAAACACCCATTCATTCATTTTTTTTTTTTAAAACAAAGTTTATTGAATTTTCTTCTGATGGCAAAAGCAGAACATTCATGGTTGACTACCTAGAAAACACGGAGAAGTAAGATTCAGAAAATTAGCCTGTAACATCGCCACCCAGATATACTTAGACTGCTAACATTTATCAAAAGAATACTTTTTATTTTAGGATAGATTTGGATTTACGGACACGCTGCAAAAATAGGACAGAGAATTCCACTAAACCCACACCCAGTTTTCCCTAATTGTAATAGTTGATGTGCGGATGGTATGTTTGTTCCAACCGGTGAAGAAATAGCGATGGGATTGTTAATTTATTAAAGTTCACAATTTACTCACATTTCTTAGTTTTTACCTAGCATTGCTTTTTCTGTTCCAGGATCCCACCCAGGACACCCCATTACATTTAGTTGTCACGTCTTGTTACACTTCCCTAGACTGGGACAGTTTCTCCTTGATTTTGGTGACCTGGAAGGTGTAGAGGAGTCCTGGTCTGGTGTTTTGTAGCATGTCCTTCAATTTGAGAATGTCTGATGTTTCCTGTGATTAGAGAGGGAATATAGGTTTTCGGGAGGTAGAAATAAAGTGCCATTCTCATTCTATTGAAGGTACGGGCTCTCAGCATGACCTATCAGATGTTCATTTCTTTTTATTTTATTAAAAAGATTGTTTTCATTTCTTTGTAAAAATTTATTCATTTATATTGAGAGAGAGAGAGAGAGAGAGCAGGGGGAGGGGCAGAGAGAGAGAGAGAAGCAGACTCCCCATTGAGCGTGGAGCCTGATGTGGGGCCCAATCCCACAACCCAAGCAGAAATCAAGAGTCGTATACCCAACCGACCGAGCCACCCAGGCGCCTCTATCATTTGTTCATTTTAAGTGTGCCCCACTGGCTGAGGCAACGTCTATCAGGATTCCTCTCTGGAAAGTTATTCTGTCCCCTTGCCATGTGATACTCTTTGGAAGGAAGACCTCAGTTCTGGCATTTTCACAGATGTGCTTCCAGACGCAACCTTTGCCCTCATCCCCAGAACACAGCAAAGTTCTAATGGGCACCTGTTAACTTCTGACCCCTAAGGATCTCGCCAGGAGTTGGGGTGTGGGTTCTAGCCTTGACACTTTCATTTTCATCATTTCTGGAGTTCTTTGGGCACCAGTTACCATTTTAAATGCATCTGTGCCTCAGTCCATGAAAACCAAAATGTTGAGTACTTACTGTGTGCCAGTCCCTGTGCTAAGTGCATTCCATCCCTTATTAATGCACAGATGACCCAGCAATGGAGATGATGCTACTGCCTTCGTGTTATGGATGAGAAAGCTTTGATTTGCGGAAATGAAGTAAGTTGCCCAGAGTCACGCAGCTTTGCAAGTGGCAGAGCTGGGATGCAGACCGTGGTCTGTGACTCCAGAGCCCAGGACCAAACTGTGTTTACCTGGGCTGCTTAGGGGCAGTCACAGGGCAGGGAGGTTCAGAATGTGGGCTCAGGGGTTTCAATCGTGGCTCTCCCATTTACCAGCTGTGTGGCCTTGGGTGAGTCACTTCCCATCTTCATGCCTCAGTTTTCTTATCTGTGCAGTGGGGACGGTAACATCTCCCAAATGGGGCTGTCATGAGGCGTAAATATTTTTGTGAATTTTTTAAAAGATTTATTTATTCATTTTTGAGAGAGAGAATGTGTGTGTGTGAGCGAGTGCATGAGCACTGGGGAGGGGCAGCAGCAGAGGGAAAGAGAAAATTTTAAGCAAGTCCATGCCTGGTGCAGAGCCTGATATGTGGCTTGATCTCATGAACCCTGAGATCATGACCTGAACTGAAATTAAGAATCAGATCCCCAACCAACTGAGCCACCCAGGCGCCCCAAGACTTAGATTTTTTAAAAACATGTTTGACTTAGGGTAGGCAGTCAGTGAGATTATTATTATTACTATGGTATTTTTTTCATTTGTCCATCCATCCATCCATCCATCCATCCATCCATCCATCCATCCATCCATTTATCCATCCATCCAGGAAAAGCACCGCCTGCTCTGGGCCTCACATTCAGATCTATAGTGGTGTCAAACCAAAGTAGGAGTTCTCAGCCCTTTTTGGGACATGGACCCTTCTTGGCAGGCCAGTAAAATATAATACATAGGATCACTAAGG